TGTGGAGAAAAATCCACTATAACTTAATTCCATTTTTCCATAAACTTTTTGAAGTCCCTTCATATTATTAGTTAATGAAACTTCCCTAGATTTCTTTCTAGAAAGATAAAGGGTAATGTGTTACGCCTATAAACGCGTCAGGAGAAAGAACAAAACTAAAAGAAATTTTTCTTACAAACTACTTGGCAACTATTGATGCCATCCAGATATTACTCTTCCTTCTTTTTTATCACTCTTCTTTCTTAGGTATTTCAGCTAGTTACCCAATAGGACAGGATCTTGGCTTCACTCTTTCAAAGTTGTCTAATCATACCAATTGTTGTTATTATAATTATATGTACCAGTAAATTAATGCTGCATGAAATATATATCTAGTGTTCCTTAATAAACTATAAATTCGGTTGACTAAGCAAAGGCATTTGACTGTGAATATTAACAAATTATGACTAGGCTTGAGAAGAATGGGAATTCCAGAGCACCTAACTGTGTTCATGCAGAACCTGTTCATGAATCAAGAGGCAGTGTGCAAACAGAACAAGGGAATGAATACTGCATTTTAAAGCCAAGAAAGGTATGTGTCAGGTTTGTATTCTCTCACCATACTTATTCAATCAGTATGCTGAACCAATCATCAGAAAAGCTCGACCATCTAAAGAACACAGCATCAGAATTGGAGGAAGGCTTCTTAACAACCTGAGACATGCAGATGACACAACCTTGCTTGCAGAAAGTGAGGACTTGAAGCACATAATGATGATCAAAGATTGAAGCCTTCAATATGGATTATGACTTAAAGCAAAGAAAACAAAATTCTTACAACTGGGCCAATAGGTAACAGCATGATAAATGGAGAAAAGATTGAATTTGTCCACAATCAATGCTCATGGAAGTAGCAATGAAAGATCAAATGATGCAGTGCATTAGGTACATCTGCGGCACAAGACCTCTTTAAAGTATTTAAGAGAAAAGAGGTTACTTTGACGACTAAGGTGTGCCTGACTCAACCCATGGTATTTTTTTTTAATCATTTTATTAGGGGCTCATACAACTCTTATCACAATCCATACATAAATCAATTGTGTAAAGCGCATTTGTACATTCATTGCCCTTATCATTCTCAAAATACTTCCTCTCCACTTAAGCCCCCATCATTAGGTCCTCATTTTCCCCTTCCTTCCCCGCTCTCCACTCCCTCATGAGCCCTTGATAATTTATAAATTGTTATTTAGTCATATCTTGCCCTGTCCGACATCTCCCCTCACCCACTTCCCGGCTGTCCGTCCCTCAGGGAGGAGGTCACATACAGTTCCTTGTAATCGGTTCCCTCTTTCCTACCCACTCTCCCTCAACCCTCCCAGTATCGCCATTCACACCACTGGTCCTGTAGGGATCATCCGCCCTGGATTCCCTGTATTTCCAGCTCCCATCTGTACCAGTGTACATCCTCTGGTCTAGCCAGACTTGCAAGGTAGAATTCATGTCATCACAGTGGGAGCGGGGAGGAAACATTTAGGAACTAGAGGAAAGTTGTATTTTTCATCATTGCTACATCGCACCCTGACTGGTTCGTCCCCTCCCCGAGACCCCTCTGCAAGGGGATCTCCAGTGGCCTATTAATGCAACCATGGTATTTTCAACTGCCTCATGTGCATGTGAAAGTTGGACATTGAATAAGGAAGACTGAAGAAGAATCGATGCATTTGAAATATGGTGCTGGCAAAGAATATAAAAAGTACCATAGACTGCCAAAAGAACAAACAGATCTTCCCTGGAAGTACAACCCAAATGCTCCTTGGAAGCAAGAATGGTGAGACCTCATCTCACCTACTTTGGACCTGTTGTCAGGAGTGACCAGTCCCTGGAAAAAGACAACATGCTTGGTAAAGTGGAAGAGCCGAGTAAAAGAGGAAGGCCCTCAATGACATGGATCGACCTAGTAGCTGCAACAATGGGATCAAACATAAGAACATTTGGGAGGATGGCACAGGGCCAGGCAGTGTCTTTTGTTGTTGTATATAAGGTCAATAAGAGTTAGAACTGACTCATCTAAAAACAACAACAAGTTCTATGCTCTTGAAAAGAAACTTATACTTAGGAACTAATATTCAAGTGAATCTGACTTCAGTACATTATCGGGCCTTTCCTTAATATCAGCTTGCTCCCCTTAATTTAACTTCACTCTCACATTCCATAAAACAACTTGGGATGGTACCCGCATACTCTCTCAGAATTGCATAGTGGTCTTAAATTTTTGTAAAAAGAAATTAGCCATCCAAAAGACCAATAAAGAACCCTTGCTGAAGACAAGTTATTCCTTAGTGGATAACATAAACTGCTGGTCCTTAAGATAGGATTCCACATATAGCAAGATAAAGTTTTAGTCCTTTTTAAAGAATCTCATATAAAGATTAAGAAGGAAGAATGAGTAAGATCATGTAAAATTAGTAAATGAGTTGACTGATTAATAAGAAAAAGCCATGTTCTTGTCCAAAGTCAAACTCCATTTTGACTTTAAGCATAGGTTATGCTTCAAAACTACAGTTTTTTGTTTCCACAGTGCTTTGCTGAAACCAACAGATAAGTAATTTTTAGGAAAAAATGCAAAATAAGAAAAGAAAAAAATGCAACCACTTTTACCAGCTTCAGAAAAATTAGCAAAAGGTCAGGATGTAAAATCATTTTAAAGTAGGTCAAAATGTAAATGATTGTTTTTAGGAAGAGCATGTCCATAACTAACCAAACCTGTCAGAACGTACACAATCTTAGAAGAACATGGGACTAGTTTGCTCCTGGGCACAACTACAACTTGGGATAAAAAAATTTTTTAAATCAAACTGCCATGCAATCAGTTCCCACTCACAGCAACCCTCAACAGGACTTCTGTAACGGTAATCTCTACAGGAGCAAATAGCTCCATCTCTCTCCTGCGGAGAGGCTGGTGGGTTTACATTTCCAACCTTTGGTTAGTAGTCCAACCTCTAACCCAGAAGGCCACTAAGGCTCCTTGAATAACTGACAATTCTACATTCAATAACCAAACCAGTGGGACTTTTACCTTTCAGAGAACTCTAAACTGAAGTTTATCTGATCTACAATCAATCAATGACCCCTGGCTTTCATTTCTCAATGTGTACCCCTCTAACTCAATAAAGATAGTTGAACACTGTGTTAAAGAACACCCTCAACTCGGTTTTACCAGTGTGCCAAATGTTTAGCTCATCAATCAAAATCTTTGCTTTTACTCTAAGTGGACTCATCTTCTACCGATGGTTAAACACTTGGGTTGCAGGGTCGAAGTCTACAGTAGAAAAGCTGGGGGTGGAGGGGGGGGAGGTTGCTAAGGAAATGTCAAATGAGAATAAAATATCTATTTTACTCTCAATGAATTTCCATAAAGGTAAAAAGGAGACATATATTGATTACTTCATCTATCTTTTCTTACCCTCGTTTTAAGAAGCCCTGGCCATGTGGTGGCTAAAGCACTAAGCTGCGAACTGAATGGTCCACCTGTCATTTTTCATGGGAGAAAAGGTTGACAGTCAGTTTCCAAAAGGATTACGGTCTTAGAAACCCTATGGAACAGTTGTAATCGATTCTATGGGGTCTCTATGAGTTAGAATAGACTCAATGGCAATAGGAGATTTTTGTCTGTTTGTTGTGGTTTATCCTAATTTTATAAATTGCCCACAATCAACAGTGGTTAAATAGCTAGCTAACAATAAGCCTTTGAAAGATACATTCATTAACTGTTCAAGTCCTTTAAAGCATCCTGGTGAATCATCAGAAATTACATAGGAGATTTTTAGAAACATTTTTAGAGATTTTGAGATTTCCATGTGGACATGGGAGTCCATGTTTTTTTATTTAAAAAAAAAA